AACCTGGCATTATACCTGCCGAAATTAGTTACATTGTTGGGGGGTTTGTGTGCATGTGTGCACACTTTAGTTTTTGCATGATTTGGCAGACACTGTTAGCTAAATCATCACCCATTCTCAGCCTTTTCTATCTGCCTGACTCCTCTATAGAGATTAGAAAAGCTAAATTCTCTCCCAAGCCCCATTGCAGCTAGGAGTGGCCATGTGAATTCTGACTAAGAAGATATAGGCAAAATACTGAGGGAACTTCTGGGAAAGCTTTGCTTTCCTGATAAAAGGGATAGATGGCACAGAGTCACTTCCTCCTTTCTTATTCCTAGAATGTGGATGTAATGCCTGGAGCTGGGGTACCCATCATATGACCCTGAGGGAATATCCAAGAGAATTACAGAGACAGTAGCCCTGAAATTGTTAAGCTGCTGAATTATTGCCAGCAGCTGCCTACCTCCAGACTTCTTATGTGAGAAAAAATACACCTCCCTTTAAGCCACTGTAAATTGGCTTTTCTTGTGGCTGAATGTTTTCCTAATATATGGGGTATATTTTTTACTTTATTTTTATCAAAAAATACATGTATATCACTTAAAACTTTAAAAAATTTTAAACTGTTCCTTGTATTAGGAACCTCCATATTTCTAAGTAAATGGCGATACTGCTATTTCTTGATTTATTGATTTTACCATTATCTATTGATTTTCTACTGTAATAGATAAGAAGGGTTTAAGTCTCTTACACCTTTCCCATCATGTCCCCTCTCCTTTTATACTAATCTTCTGTTAAATGACTGTTTTGGGTCAAATCAGCATTCACTGCTTACATTATTATGACTATGTTCATATTATTCACAGCTGAGTCAAATAATGTACTATAATTATTTTTCTTTTCACATACAAATATTTATTTTTCTCAAAATTATTAATTGGCTGTTTTTTCTCTTTATTTCATTTTCTCTGTAAAATTTAAATCTCCTCCAAGTGCCTTAAAACTGTAGATGATCTAGCAGACCCATTTTTTTTTTTTCTTGGCAACATCCTTCGTGGAGCCCTCTATCATCCCATTTCATTTTGGCCTGGTTGCTCTCAAGACCTGCTACACACCCTATATCCTAGACTTTTTTTTAACACCACTCTCAGAACTCCCTGTCCCTCTCTTCTCTATTGGATCCTTTATTTCTTGGATCCTATGCTTTTTTATCATTGGTTTCCCTTACTTTGGTGGAGCATATCCTTCAATAACTTCTTGAGGATGACTGGGAATTAACTTTCCTAAGACTTGATTGATAGTTTGGCTAGGTTTAGACATTATGTATTGTCAGATTTTTTTAAGTATTATTCCATTGTCATTTAGCTTCCATTGTTACCATTGAGTAGTCCTATGCTTTTCTGGTTCCTAATCCTTTGTATTTGGATCTTTTTCTCTTTGGAAGCTTTTGAAATCTTTGTCATCCGTGATATTGCAGAAATTCGTAGAGATGTGAAATGTTGGTATGGGTCTTTTTTCTTTCATTGTGTGGGCCCTTTCAACCTTTAAACTCACATCCTTCGGTTCTGGCTTAGTATGGCACTCCACCATCACCCTTAGCTCTTCTAGAACTCTGACAGCACATAATTTCTAAGCCTAGCCAAACTATCAACTAACTAGAGTCTTTCGATTTACTCTTATAAAAACAGTAAACTTCTGGCATTCTTCCCAGTTGTCTGGGTCAAGTGGGAGTCTTATGCAGGCTGTACACTATTTCCAACCTTTATTGTGCCCTCCAAATGTAGAGGTTGTAATACCTCTAACTCCTCAGCCTTTCCAGGATTTCAGTTTGAATAGAAAAACTGCTTTTAAAGCTAGACCCCAAAATGTGTAATAGCTCAAACATAATAGTTTATTTTTTCTTGAGTAACAGTGATACTGCTACTCAACAGTTTGACTGGAAAGGTCCAGTTTTGCTGGAAAGGTCAGCAAGACAGCCCTCTGCTATGTAGTTATTTAGGGATGCAGGCTGACAGTGGCTCTTCTGTCTTCAACACGTGACTCCAAGAAAGTTACCCTAAGGGGCATCTCCATTCCAGCCAGTCAGAAGAGGAAAAGAATATGGAGAAGTGTGCACGGGAGATTTTTATGGGCCAGGTCTAGAAGTGGTGCATGTCACTTCTACTCACATTCTCTTTGCTAGAACTCGGTCATATGGGCATGCTTAACTGCAAGGAAGGCTGGGAAACATAAGCTGGGTGTCTGCCCAGAAAGAAGAGGAGAACATGGGTTTTGATGAGCACTTCCAGCATTCTGTGAAGTGGAATGGTCTAGGTCAGTTACCACTTTTCTGTCTGCTTTTCAAATTCCAAAATTGTGTCAACATCTCTCTTTTTTTGTTGTTGTTTCTTTCCTGTTCTCTTTGTTCATGTAGGTTTAGGCCTTCCTTATTCCTTGACTATCATTTTAGTGATATCTTGGTTGGGAGCAGAGGTAAATGTGCAATTATACTGTCATTTAAAACATGTAGGCATAATAAAATGACCACAGAAAAACATCTCTGAGGTTCATATGGGTTTATTGCCTATGAATTTTCAACACTTGAACTATACTATGAATACTTTTACTTATAAAAATGATTGAAGAGAGTTCTATGTACTGACATAGAAAAATGCTTTTCATATATTAAAAATAGAAAATTTTAGACAGTGTTATAGTATGATCTTATTTTTGTTATGTTTGTAAATGTATTAAAAAATTTGGGAAAGCTACACTTCTAAATTTAATGGTTGTTAATTGTAGAGAGTGGAACTGAGAAGGGGTTGAGAGGTTGGGGAGGCTTTCTTTTAAAATTTTATGTACTTCATTGATATTTGAATAATTTACATTAAGCGTGTATTTTGTTTTTTGGTTACTAAAGAACAAATAAAGAAATAGTCAGCAGGGCCAAATGCCCTAGAGAAGTCAAGTAAAATGAAGGCTGAAAAATATCTATCAGATTTGGAAATTAAGAGATCATTATTGGTGTTGTAGGATCAGAAGTAATCTCAGTGAAGATAATATAGGATATCAGGAAATAGACATAGTGATTTTGACTTTTTTAAAAAAGACCAAGACAAGGGTGTGATTAGAGGAGGATGTAGAGTTGAGGAGGCAGCGTCTGAGGTTATGTGGAGGAGTTTTCTCCCCAATGTGAGAACTTGGAGTATGTTTCGTAGTCTGTAGGGGAAGGGTCCAATAGGAGGGGAGGAAAATTCAGAAGAGAGATGTCTTCAAGAAAAATGATTTGAAAACTTCCCTCGTTTGCCGCCTCTGTCCAGTGATGATTAGACTTCTCTGCAAGATTAAGAGTAACCAGGTAAAGTGGTATTCAGCAAGACCAGTGTAGAAGGAAAGCCCCAAACTTTTGGTGAGGAGGGCTTTGGTTAGATGGCCTTTGAAATCCCTTCCAATCTTCAGTTCTACAAATCCAACTTATCTTAGTTGGTCCTGCTAAGCATGGACTTGACAGAAACAAACACCCTGCTTTAGTGTGACTTGAGCTAGGAATCCAGATTTATTAGTGAGAGAGGTAAGAATGAAGAATTTCTGTTTCTTTTGAGAAGCACAGCATTCTCCCAGTGTCACATCAAGAAATCTAACAGAGTCAGCACTTCCTCTAGCTCCTTATCAAGTTAAGAAGCTCTCGTTTTCTTTTAAGTGCCTCTCTCTCTCCTTTTCCCAAGGATACTGATTTAGAATCTGCTTTGCCAAGAATCAGTGTATTTTGGGAAGCCATTTCTTCACCTCACCAGGGTTACAGTGAGTCATGGCTGTGACTCCCTTCTTCCTCAGAAATCTGTAAGGTGGCAGATAATGAGGACCTTCTTTAGTTCTACCCCCTTCCCTGGGAAGGTTCTGGGCTCTGGACTCTTCCCCCTAGAATTGGTGTGCCATCTGGTATATGTTACGTGGAAACTTGTGGCTAGACTCTATACTTGGAAGGATTTTAAATATTATTGTAAACAGAGAATAATATGCTTGTGTATAGAAATTTCTCAGGTGAAATGACTTTTTATCAAGAAGTAGCTTATACTTTCTGGAGGCCACTTTGGGTAGAAACAGTAGAGCATGGATATGTCTGTGCTAGGAATTCTCCTAAGCTCTATCAAAGGCAGACTTGAATTCATATTCCTCGTTCTGCTTCCTAACATTAGATAGCCTGGCACAGATAAGGTCTAATTATTCTAATTCTCCTGACACAGATAAAGTCTAATTAAATCCCTTGCTTCTTGGTCAGTCTCTGCCCCTTTTATACTCCCACTTTTTGGCCCATTGAAGAGAGGGGGAATGGATGACAAGCATATGGCGGGAGTTGCCTTATGCTCCTTGAGGTCCGGAGGATGTCAGTAAGGATGATTCCTGTGGGTTCTGCCAGGTTCCAAAGTATGTCTCTGAGAGGTTTACTCAGCTGGTATGAATTCCTGTCTTCCCAGTCTATCCACCCCATGGGTGACTCAGCCCACAGGAGAGCCAGGCCACCAAGGCATATGCAGACGGGGTCCAAAAGATAAGACTGTAAAGGAGTGAGACTTGAAATAGAAGCAGGCAGAGCTTCTGACAACCAGTGCTTGGTAGGTTTCTTTGGCCTGGGAGAATGAGCTGCCCCTTCTGTAAGTCATCTGGGAAGATATACTATTCTACTTAGACTAAGGCCACTTTTCTCCTAAAATGCCCTTGTAAGGGGAGGGAAGGCAGCAGGCCTAGGTGGTTCAAGTCACAAGGGTCCCTCAGTTCTCTTTAGCCATAGAATATTCATTGGCCCTATCCACATTTCCCGGTGTCCCATCTTGTTCTTTCATTCATTCAGTGGCCTACTGCAAATTGGTTTATAGTACCCGCTCTGACAGTGCCAGTGAAGTCCCTACTTGACGGAAGAATAAATAAGAAGCAAAAGTAGAGCTCAGTTATGTGAGGCTCCTTCCTTATTTCTGTGGGGGACAATGGGAGAAGAGGGAGATGACCTGTCTCTAAGAAACCTCTGCTTTCTATTCCCCAAGCAACCTCATAACATTCTGCAGAGGCGCCTCATGGAAACCAACCTGTCGAAGCTCCGAAGCAGTCGTATCCCTTGGGCCTCCAAGACCAACAAATTCAATCAGGCGAAGTCTGAGGGACTAAAGAAGTCTGAGGATGATGACATGATTTTGGTTTCTTGCCAGGTAATGTTCTGAGAACAGCTTTTCCAGGGTTTTCTGGAGAGTAGGATTTGGGCCCATTATTATGCCAAAAGGGGGGCCCTCTTCTCCAAACTGTATAGAGTATGGGTCTTATCATGGAATTCATAAATGAGTTTCAAGGGGGGACTCCATACAACACAAGAAGTGTATGTAATATTTTGATGCATGTGCATCTTTATGGGAAAAAGGACCAAGGTTTTCATGAGATTTGCAAAGGGGTATGTGATACACATACACACACACACACACACACACACACACAATTCAGAGCTACTTGGTATATAGAATGAAACGCCCCAAGTCCTTTGGGATCCTCTGTCAGCTCTAGATTCAGAAGAAAAAGAACCTCTCAAAGGAGGCTCAGCCATGAGTAAAGATGGGATGCTACCAACCCATAGCTGTGAGGATGCTCTCCAACCCTGCCTTTCATATGGCATCTGCTGCTTGCTCCCTGGATCTTCTTTCCTTTTTGCTTCTCTGGCTCCTGCTGAACAGTACGTTTTCTCTCCACAGTGTGCTGGAAAGGATGTGAAAGCCTTGGTTGACACAGGCTGTCAGTATAATCTCATCTCTTCAGCCTGTGTGGATAGACTGGGGTAAGTAGCCACTTGTGCTAGGTGGAAGTCAGATGCTAATGCACTCTTTGCCTGAATCTGTTTTGAGGTTGGAGACAGTGAGGGTCTCCACAGAGGCTCCAAGAGAAGTGTGCAGAGCTCAGATATCAGCTGGAACCAGTACTTATTAAAGGGGCAGAATGGTGGGTTCTCAGGCACCTGAGAGAAATCAGTGAGCCAGGAAAGCCTCAGGCTTTCCATTAACTCCCACCTACTGAATTTTGAATAAAGACCTTTGGGCTCTGGAATGAGAGTGTGAGATCCTTGGCTCTTTGAGGCTGTGCCCTGATCCTGATTTGTGCCCTGCCCAGACAACAGATTAGAAGGAGCTGTCCTCTTGGTATACACTAGGTGAGGAAAAGCAGGGATGTGGTTGGCCTTAGCTTACTCGGGGTCCTTCTGGAGGCCACGCTGCCTGTCCACAAAGCATCAGTCAGAACTTGGAATAGGGCTGCTATTGGTGCTGGGCCTGAACCATCATAGGGTGATTAACAGTAGTTTCTTAGTGCCTTTCCTCCCTGTGAAGAACATGTGAAATCAGATATTATTGCTGCCCCTGCTGGGGACTGGGTTCAAAGCAGACACCTCATATGTTGAAAGTCTTGTTCTCTAACAGCTGGAATTGGGTTCTCCCTCTTTTAGTCAGAGAAAGCCATTTTGTATCTTTCCTCCTTTTCACTCAATCTGTACTTTTCTTTCTTTCCTTCTTCCTTCTGTTTCCTTCTAAGTACCAGATGAGCCCTGAGGTCTAGCCCAGAACTGGGAGGATCAACCCAGTATCCCTTTCCACTTTTCTAGCCCTGAGTCCAACAAATCGTTCCCCAGCCCAAATCTCTGTGTTGAAACAATCACTAGGGTAGATATAATGGACCATTTTAAGCTACTTTCAAGATGTCCATATTCTTAGGTAGGACTTGCTCAAAGCTTGATTTGTATAATCAGTGACCTCTGCCATATGATCTGTTCCTTCTTGTTTCTACCCTGTCCTCACCATAACTGTGACTCCTTCAGGCTGGCTCTGTGGGTTTTGTACATTGCTATTTAGGATGCTGGGGGGAGTCCAGACCACAAGTGCTCCTGTGGGAAGAATCCTGAGCTTTTTTATGTGGTGAAGAGATGAGAGAGAGTGCACCATCATGTTTCCGGAAAGACTAATAACGTCCTGGTACATAATTAGGCAGCAGACTGCCATGATTCCAGAGGAATTAATAACCATCTGTAAAACTGCAATTATTTTTCTTTTGGATGGGCTGTAACACCAAAAGAGAGGAAATGGAGTAAAGCAGAAGTATTGGCACAGACAGTCCATAATTAAGTATTTATCCACCAACCCATAATAGCTTGGGTGTTAGCTGTTCCAGTCAGCTTACATAACTGTGTGAAACCTTGGTGCTGTTCCTTTCCTGCTTCCCCTGCACAGACAAGTTAAATTAGTTAGGACTTTGTCCCCAATATTCCTTGCTGATACCAATATCAATGCACTTATCAAATAAATACCTGCCTCCACTAACCTTATAGCCTAACTGATGAGGATAGACTAAAATAGAAAAGACAAAGAGAAAATTAGACATTGAACAAAGCATCTTCTAAAATTAAGATTAACTTGCCCTGGGGCTGGCCCTGTGGCTGAGTGGTTAAGTTCGCGCGCTCTGCTGCAGGCGGCCCAGTGTTTCATTGGTTCGAATCCTGGGTGCGACTTGGCACTGCTCATCAAACCACGCTGAGGCAGCGTACCACATGCCACAACTAGAAGGACCCACAACGAAGAATATACAACTATGTACCGGGGGGCTTTGGGGAGAAAAAGGAAAAAAAAAAAGATTAACTTGCCCTCTTTGAGATCTGTTACTCACAGATGGGTAAAAGGACTTGTTAACTAAACTGCCTTGCACATGGGTGGGGGTGTTAGGATGCAGAATAGGATTCTCTGAGTATGTCAACTCTCATCTTTCACCAGTGCAGAGAGTGACATAGCTTTTTGAGACCAGGAGCTGAATCTTTAGTTTTTCATATCCCCTGGCATGTTTAGGACAAAGTGCTGAAACAAGAAGTATAGGCTGGCTAGCACTTTTTTTGGTAAATTAATCCCTGGAAAATTCCAACTGTGAGTCAGAATGTAGCATTGCTAAATTCCACCAGAAACCTCTGCCAAGGGGATTCTGATATCATCCTCTCTGGTGCAGACTGAAGGAACATGTTAAATCTCACAAGCATGAAGGAGAGAAGCTTTCTCTACCCCGGCATCTGAAAGTGGTGGGCCAGATTGAGCACCTAGCGATCACACTGGGCTCCCTCCGCCTGGACTGTGCAGCAGCTGTGGTTGGTGAGTAGAATTGGGGACTGGATGTATGGACCCCTAATGTAAACTCTCTCTTTATGTGCACCACACCCTCATGAGATCTCATGCTTATAAATATTTCCTTCTTCAAAATCCCAGGTTTCCACTTCTCTGTGCTTTAGACCTTGTCCCAATTTTTGCCCTCCAAAGTACCAGATGGGCCCTGAGCTACATTCAAGACATGTTGAGAATCACTCAGAAAAAAAGTGTGTAACTCATGATTAAAAAAAAAAATCAAGGGGCAAGTAAACAAATATTTTTGTGTGCTGGTGAAAATGGCCCCTGAGAGCTTTCCATGAACTAGTTGGAGGTAGAGGGCAAGATCCTCTTACTCCTTTGCCACAAACCCCTTAATAATTCCCACCATCGCCTATATTTTCCCTCATGTACTCTATTCTAGATTACTCTTAAGTTCCTGTTTTTTGTCTAAAGGCCTTTGTCCTTTAGAGTTAAAAAGACCTGGGTTTGAATGTTGGCTCTATCACCTTTTAGCTATAGTGATCTTGGAAAATTACTTATTATAACAGATGCTTAACACATGTTTATTGGATGGATGGATGCATGAAAGGTTGGATGGAACCTAATGGCAATAAGGCTGACTTCTAAACCAGCATGGAAATGGCTAAATCTTAATTATTTTTTTGTTAGAGGACAGTGAGAAAAACTTGTCCCTTGGCCTCCAGACGCTCCGATCTCTGAAGGTAGGATGGATTCTACTCTCCCTTTGGTACTTCCTCCCTGAGGCAGGCCGCCTCCTACAGAGAAACCCCATAGTGGGATCACAGACAGTGACCAGTGATGCTCTTGTTTTTAGTGCATCATAAACTTGGATAAGCACCGGCTGATCATGGGGAAGACAGATAAGAAAGAAGAAATCCCTTTTGTGGAGACAGTTTCCTTGAATGAAGACAAGTAAGTGCCCAAATGGGTCAGGTCAAGTCAAATCCATTTGTCATTAACTGGAGGGTTTCTCACACAGGATATTGGGCTGTGTCCTGCCTTTGGCCTTCAGTCATACACAGGTACCCCTCTCCCCACCCCCAGAGTTCATCATCCTACAAAAACTCTCTAGCTCACATTTCAGAATGAGCAGAGAGGGGCCGGCCCCGTGGTGCAGCGGTTAAGTGCACACGTTCCACTTTGGCAGCCCAGGGTTCACCGGTTTGGATCTTGGGTGCGGACATGGCACTGCATGGCAAGCCATGCTGTGGTAGGTGTCCCACGTATAAAGTAGAGGAAGATGGGCACAGATGTTAACTCAGGGCCAGTCTTCCTCAGCAAAAAGAGGAGGATCAGCAGCAGTTAGCTCAGGGCTAATCTTCCTAAGAAAAAAAAAAAAGAATGAGCAGTGATGATACTGCACAGAGTGGTGGGGAAAATGAGTAGCTTTTGTAAACTAAAATTGTACTTGCCTACAGCCTAACTTCTTTGAATTTGGTATCATTTCTTCTATTTCTTTCTCATTTCAGCACTTCAGAAGCATAACTACAGCCTGCAGCATGTCTGCACGTATGCACACACGCCAGGTTGACAGATTGAGGAAACTGAGTTTGAACCAAATGCAGTAGCAACTGGCCGTGGACCAAGTCCTTCCCTCTAATAGAAGCTCCAGGGGCTCCTTCCCACCCAGACCTCTCTAGACTTTAGTCTGTGCTTAGAGATATTGTCTGGTTATAGCCATTGTTTTTTACTCCTTCAATCACTTGATTTATAGACCCTTTTGACACTGCCAGGTCTCACTAATGGCCTATTTCTCTGCTTCTTCCAAGAATTTGCTTTTATTAGTTAAGTATAGGGGCTTCCAGGTTCTATTTCTTCATAGATACACTTGCTTCTTTTCCTATAGCTAAAATGTATAATAAACAAGAACCTGATCTTTACCTTTCTTCAGCTATTTCAAAGAGGTGCAGTATACCTATGTCTCAGAATTAGTTTCTTCTAAGTCATTCATTGATTTCTCAAGTATGAATTGATCTGAAAGAACCCAGAGAGATTATCTAGTCTAATCCTTTCATTCAAAGGTCCAGAGAGGCAAGTGAATTGTGTAAGCTTATATACAAAGTCAATGGAAAAAGAGACTTAGAACTCAGACCTGACAAGCCAAAGCTATATGTTCATTCTCTCATGCTGCTGCATTTTTCTTCAAGCCGTGAGAGGAGGATGAAGAGGTGAGGGTTTGTGAAAAGGGAGGCAAGGGGAAGAATATGCTTTGGGAATGGATCTTAGAAGGATCTGAGTAGCCCTCTTTGCTGTTTGCTAAGCCCACTAAAAGCCCCCTGCTTCTAACTGTCACATTTAGGCCCTTTCTTGGTGCCTAGAAGCCAAGAGTACAAAGGTGAATGAGATGGTGTCTCACATTGAATTCTTTCAGGGGAGCAGGTGGAAGGAACCACAGATAGAACATTAATCACTCTCTGAGATGGAACTGAAGGCTTCAGTGAGTAATCTAGCCATCACTCTCAGACACTGATACCCCCAAGATCCAGTCAGTGTTTCTGCCTATCTTGTTATTTGTCTGACACAGATTCAAGTAGCTGGGAAGAGGAGAAGGGAAAGGAGATGAAAAAACCCAGAGCAGGTCCAAAATAGAAGGGAGTGCCAGGTAGAATCAGTTGGTGGGAAGGCCTACCAAGGGAGTCCTTTGTGGGATGGAGGTCAGAAGTGAAACTTCCAGGCAGGGAACTGAGGGTTGAGAACTCACCTCTGTCTTGGTACAAGGAAAGAGGCAGGGCAGGAGCTGGCAGTGTTAAGGACAACTTTTCTGACTGCCCAATATTTCCTGACCCATCTCAAAGGGTTGGAGATCACGGGAGTTTCTTGAAGCTTTTTGTTAGGGTGTCAGTTTGGGCACAAAGATAACTATAATGGACTCTCTCCTTCAATTTAGTTGTAGAAGTGCTCAGAGAAGTCAAAAAAAATAGCCAGCTGTGGATATCCCTTTAAGAGATTCCCAAGTCTTCCCTTGGTTCACAGCAGTAGTTCCCAGAGTATTTAATGGATCCCACTTTGAATTTTGCCAGGTTCCACCAGCAACCTCATCTAGTGTTCAGCTACTGTCCCAAACAACTCTTTGGAACTCTAAATGTTTTTAGCTTTATAGAAGCTCCCTAAAGACTGGGAACTTGGTGACCCCCATTTGAACAGCTAGGCAGCCGCACTGCAGCCAGCTGGCACTGGATCATCCCTGGCTCCCTTCCTATCAGTCTCCAAAGAGGAAGCAAGATAGAAAACTAAACACAGCAACAATAGAGGCCGCATCTCAAGCTCATTGGGGGTGATCCCAGCTTACCAGCCTTCAGTGCTCCCTCCAACTCCACCCCATTTTCTTATCCAGGGGGGACCTGCACCTTTCCATTGAGGCCTTTCCATTCTCCTCCCCACCCTATCATGGCACCACTTTGGCCTGCTTCTTCTCCTAGGACTGAATTGAAATACTTCACCCCTTCCTTCCCTAGTTGAAAGTTCCACGCCAAGCCCTGACTCTTGGCCACAAGTGAGGCACGTTGGAAGTTCCTTGCCTTGGTTTATCTTTATTTGGATTCCCTGTGGACCAAGTGAGGCAGGAATTCTCAGGTTCTAGAAAGATGTGACTGATTCTGGCTCTTTGAGTTCAGGATTATATGGCATCAGAGGGATGATCAGATGGCCTTGGTGATCTTTCAGGCCTCTGAGAATCAGTAATTTTCCAATTTTGGAATAGAAACAATTGGGGTGATCTGAACTTAGGGCATCATAATCTCACTAAATGCAGTCAAATCATTTGAATTCACTAACCAAATAATTGTGCTTTAAACCTCAGCCTTAATAGAGGTACCTAAAAATGTCTAAAGATAATTATGGGAAGTCTTGAGCTTTATTAATCGTCTTTAAATACTGCCAGGTTGATTACTCTGATAGCCCATACCGCCTTGATATTCATGAGGGAGCACTGGATCTACTTTTCAAGGGCTGGCAAGGTAAACAGGTAAGGTCAGTTCTTCCCAGAATCCTAGAAAATTCTCTCTGGGGCGTCTGATTGAGGGTGTGGGAAGCAAGTGTCTACCCAAGTCACAGTTCTGAAGACAGGCAGTAGCAAAAGTAACCCTGTAGAACTGGTACCCCTCTCATTCCTTATTAGATGTCCATCTCAAATACAGGGAGTTTGAAAAATATTGTTTTTGTCATTTGGTATTTTTATGCCTGACTTATTTGAGGAACAAATGTTTTCTGACTTTTCTATTTCCTTGCCCTGCATGGACCCCACTTGGTAAGATTTTCTATTCTTTAGTTCAAAGTGTCTATAGAATGGATTGCTTGGTATGTCAGAGGCCCTCACTCTTGTATAATAGAAATATCTTTCCTGGCTGGGGACATGGAGGAGGTGAACTGGATTCCTCCCTCCTTCTGTTGCCAGGCCTCTGCATTGGCACTTTATCTGCTCAGTGTTTCTGGCTGTGTTGGGTTTCTTTGTGAGATTGATGTAACAATAAAGTGAAATCTTCCCCTCTGTGTGCTTGTCTCACAAAGTCTCTGTGTCAGGGCCCCTGGAAGTTGGGAGAGCCCAGGCACAGCCTAATTATGTCAGTGTTTCTCTCCTAGTCTTCTGAACACAAGGCTTTGTGGTCCTCATTTCTTCCATTGCTACCAGCCCTTCAGCTCCTTCTTACTGGCTTTACCTCCTTGGGCAAAGTAGTGAACCTCTCTGAGCTTGGTTTTGTAATCTGTAAAACAGAAGTGACGGTAGTGCTTAGTTCACAGTATCAAATGAGATAATCCATGTAAAGTGGGTGGCATATGGTAATCCCGCAAAGCTTTAACTGTATAGAGAACAGTCTTGTATGGTGGGTCAGCAGTGTGTGAGAGAACACTTACCTCTAGAAAAGGAGATATTTATTTAGTTCAAACAAGTAGGAGAGGTTTGGGAAGGGGAAGGATTGCGTGAAGCTTAATATATAGTTAAAGCCATTGTGTAAATGACATTCTAAAGAAATGCATTTTACAGATGATAGAAACATTCCCTTTAAGTGTCACTATTTTCAATATTTAAGCAGTATGGTTAACTAGTCAACAGGAAGCTTTCTTTAACCATGATAATGGTTATCACAATGTAGAATTATGGTTCCACTACTACTCAGATGATACTACCATTCCACCTCAAATGGTATTCTGTCTTATTTTTGTCCATTTATTCTAAATATAAAAAATGTAAAGAGACTTACCCAACCTATGCAATGGGCAACAGAATCAAAATTCATAATCATCTTAATAGAATGAAACCAACAAAATTGTTTTAAAAAGAGTTAAAAAAACCATCCTGACTTTAATTTTTAAAAACCTATTACACTTACACAGTAGGGGGAAAACTTGGGCTATTGGAGGTTCATGTGAGGGCCTGGCTCAGTGGCGCAGCGGCTAAGTTCGCACGTTCTGCTTCGGTGGCCTGGGGTTCGCCAGTTCAGATCTCAGGTGCAGACCTATGCACCACTTGTCAGGCCATGCTATGGCAGGCGTCCCACATATAAAGTAGAGGAAGATGGGCACAGATGTTAGCTCAGGGCCAGTCTTCTTCAGCAAAAAGAGGAGGATTGGCAGCAGACGTTAGCTCAGGGCTAATCTTCCTCAAAAAAAGAAGTTCACATGAAGATGATGTTGGTGTTTTAGTTGGTTATACATTCTATATGTAGAAGTATTAAGGACTCTGGGTGTAAGAGATGTCATTTTGAAGACAAGGATGTATATACAATTTGTGGAAGATCCAGAAAAGGTCAATGGTAACATGATTATTGTCTTCAGAGCTGTCATGTGGAAAGTGTTCCTTCTGGTACCAGAAGGCAAGCATTTCCAATAGATGGAGGTTACAGAGAGGCATATCCTGACTCAATTGGAGGGAAGCATCTGCTATAAACCAGGGACTACGCTGACTCCTGCAAAGAAGGCAGTATTGTTCACTGCTTTGCAGAAGGAAAAGCTAAGGCTCAGAGCAATATCAAGATACAACTATTTAGTGCAATTAAATATCTCTAAATTCTTTTTCACTGGAAGTGAAAGATGGAATGATCATTTTCTAGCAATATTATGAAAGAGATTTCTGCATTGGGTGGGAGTTTGGATAAGGAGACCTCCAAAGTTATTTCTAATGCCAAATTCTTTGATTCTAGGACATCTGTATTAAATGGTATTATGAATCAAATGTAGTTTCTTGTTCACCCATTGCCCTCACTACAAACATAGACTCATTAATTTGGGCTGAAATTATGAGCTTTTTTACCTAGCTTTGAAGGGTTGTAGGATACTGTTCTCAAGAAATTAGAAAGCAGAGACAAAGTGGTCTGTGTGTTATAGGTTGGACTCCTCTGTCAGCTGCCTTCTTCCTTCCATTATCAGTGCATCCTGAGCTATAATATGCTACCGTCTTATTGTATGCTCACTTGTCTGGCTAGTGACCTTCTGGCAGCTGTTTCTCACATCATGTCAAGTATATGGGCATTGTGATAGCTGTTTTCTCACAGATCTTTTTATTCAAGAGTTGTGGTATGTTCTGGAAGACTGGGGCTGCCATGTCTGACCCACATGGAGAAAAATCTGGGTCTCTACTTGCTTTTAGGTAGTGACTTAACCAAAGATTCTAGCAGCCTGATGACTACAAACCCTGTTCTTTCTTTCTAGCACCTTTATCACACTCCTTCCTGGACCTATGCCCCTAACCAGCTAATCCCAGCCACCAAAATCAGAGAAGGGAATTCGATCCTAGCATTGGTTTTACTGGGGCTGGAATAGCCTCCCAATTTGTAATTAATACAGAAAACCTAACTCTCCAGGGAACCCACATACTCCAGTGTTGACATACTCAAACCCTGCTGGTTGCCTTGAACAGGAGAAACAGGTTGGGAAGAGGGAGGATGGCTGATCTAGTAGAGATACTTGTTTGCCAGAGGAGAGACTTGGAGGGCAAAGGGAGTGAGGACATACAGTCTTCTGTATTGTGAGCCTGGATAACAGGAATTTAACTTTGCTTTCATCATTTGGCAAACTAAGATGGGATATCTTAGGATTCTGTTATGAAATGCTGGACTTCTTGGATACACTGGATGACCTTGTATTTGGGGAGCTGCTATTGTGGTTCTCATCTTACTTATTTTGAAAATGGGTTAGGACATGAAAATTTGATTGGTGCTGGAGCTGACCATAAGAGGAATCAATTACTCTGTTCTGAAAGTTCTACAGAAACTGTCCCCCACATGTCTGAATTCATAATAGTTTCTCTGTAATATGTGGGAACCAGTGGGAGAATTGAAAGTATATCAAAGTGAACAGGTTTCATAAAGACCAATTAGACCACAGGGGTATGTGAAGGGGGCCTGTTCTAAGGTCTGAGGAAGGGCAGCCAGAGAGGAGGATTCAGCTGGGTATGCCCCATGGAGAGTAGAATTTCAGCAATAGTAAGGCTTAGTATCAGGAGGTAAGGGGTGAGGGGAAGGGCAGGAACTGAAAAGAGTGACAATTAAAGGGAAGGAAAAATGGAGTGGGAATCCCAGCATCAGCCTAAGTTGACTCCACCACTGGGATTCAGATCTGTCTGTGTATACTAGAAGCCTGGTGGGTTCCGGAGGCGGGAGGCGGGGTGGGGGGAGGGGGGGTTGTGGAGGGCAATAATAATAAGTGAGCAGATGTGCCACAGAACCCCAGAAAAGACTAAAGAATTGGAGACACCAGTTGTCTGAAAAGCAAGTAGGGGTAGAGGGCTAAAAACAAGATGATTACTTGAAAGACTATAAGTAAGTTAGACCTGAGATCCTCACCCCTTATTCATTCATTCATCCCCTGGAGAAGCTGAACTAGTTGGAGCCACCAAGAACAACTGGGAGCTGAGAGAAAGCATCCTACTGAAAGGGGGATTCAAGGTTCAGCATTCTGAAGCATCAGACACCTCTTTCTCCGGCTTGGATCCCAGAATTCTGAAACTTGGCTGATCTCTTAGGATATTGCTTTCACTGCAGCCCTCTCAAGGTGGTTTTTTTCTCCCACAGTCCTCTTACTGGTCTGAGATGGGATAGATGCGCTCCTTATTCCTCATTACTGCTCCTAGACATTTCTCCCTCTCTCTTCCCTTAACGCTCCCCAGCTTTGAGTTTCATGCCATCAAATTATATCACTTACTTCCTTTCATTATTGCTGTCTACAAAATCTACAAGCCCCTGGGTCATTCCTCTCATTTGTCTCTAAGTTTAGCTCTTGGCTCATTTCACTCCTCCAACACTGCTCTTAATTCTTGGTGATTTAATTACATGCATGGAGGATCTTTTCAACACCCTGACATATTATTCTTCCTTGAATAACAGTCTTCCACTGATTTTATCCTCTACCATTCCTTGCCATTCCCTCCCATGGTCATACCTTAGATCTTGTTATTTATTCCCAAAAACTAACACCATAATCTCAGGCTCATGGATCTCACTGTCTGACCACCATCTCCTAGTAACTTGATCCCAACACTTCTTTGACTACCACCTTTCATTGTCCCTAACCTCTCTGAGTTCCTCTCCTCCCTTCATAAGCAACTTAAATCCCAGGGTCAAGCATTATAATGATTCACTTACATATACTTTTAACTCAGTTTACCCTTTTTGTCACTCTCACTTCACAAAACCACACTTTAAAGCCAGCTCTTTGCCTATTCTCTGCCTACACCTGTGTAGCAACCATGCCAACTGGTCTCACTTAAAATTCATGTCCTTAACTGTCACGCCCTTAATACTGCCCAACAATCATATTTCCCTAGTCATTCACCCTGCCATTCTCCTGGATCAGGGGTTGGCAGACCCTTTCTGTAAAGGGCCAGTAATAAGTATTTTAGGCTTTGCAGGTCATACAGTCTCTTCCACAACTACTCCACTCTGCCATTGTAGCAGGAAAGTAGCCATAGGCAATAGGTAAATGAATGTAATTTGAATTTTATGTAATTTTTACATGTCACAATATAGTATTCATCTTTAGATGTTTTTTCCCAACCATTTAAAAGTATAAAAAATTACCCTTAGCTTGCAGACTGTAGAAATACAAGATTTGGCCGCAGGCTGTAGTTTGCTGGGCTGTGTCCTAAGTTATTTCACACGTTTTCTTTTCTTCTCAAGTCTCTGACACCTCCTTCCCCATTCTCACTCTCAGATGATGACCTTGTTTTCTACTTTATTGATGAAATAATCAGGACATTCACCACGCTTACCACATCTACCCTCTTACTAGCATCTGTATGCATACATTCAGCTTTCCCTTCAGTTACTGTGTTACCACAGCACAAGACCTAAATACCGTATAACTTACTATGTTTGTTTATTGTCTGTCTCTCCCTCTAGAATCTTAGTTCCAAGAGGGTAGAGTTTGCTGTTTTATACACTGATGTATACCCAGTATCCTGAACAGTGTTCAGCACGCAAGTGTTCAGTAAATACTTGAATGAATGAACACTGGCTACCAGACCAGCAGGCAAGAGTTTGGAGAATTTCTCTCCA